CAACTAGCTGTGTGAAGGCACAGGCTTCTGAATTAAGTGGATACAGACATCAGTTACTTCAAAACAAATTCCATAGAGATTCCTTCTCCATCTAGGATTACACCCAACATTTAGATCATGTTTACACTTGGCTCCAAAAGGAACATTTCAAACTAGATGAATCTGTTTATAAGAAGATAGTACTTGCAAGGAGATATTGTGTCAGTGGGAGGAAAGCTCTTGGACCATGCACCCAAAACACACTTGAAATGTCATTAATAATGAAGCTTTGAATTTTACAAACTTAACACAGAGGATAAAAATATGATTGTGGAAAAATGTGTGTCATTGTTCAAATTATTGCTACAGTTAAAAATCAAATGTGATTTAAAATTTTAATTTAGGGGGGCTAGAGAGATGGCTCAGTGGTTAAGAGCACTGGCTGCTCTTGCAGAGGACCTGGGTTCAGTTCCTAGCACCCACATGGCAGCTAACAGCCATCCATAACTCCAGTTCCAGGGGATCCAATGCCCTCTTCTGGCCTCCTCTGGCATTGCATGACACAGGTGCACTTACACACATGCACATAAAACACTCATACACATAAAAAGAATAACAAAAAGTTTAATTCAGAAGTGTGTTTAATTTGAATCCAGAAGTGATTTTTACTTTAAAATGGAAAAGTAACTGTGGAAGTAGACCCAAGTGAAGAAACCAGGAGAAATAAAAGAGGTAGAAATTGATGAAGGCTGCAGTAAGAAGTGAACAGTCTCAGATATAAACCTGGGCTGGGAAGTTTATAAAGAAACAGGTTTATTTACAGTTTTGAAGGCTAAAAACGCAATTGTATTTCATCAGCTCCAATAAGGGCTTCGTGTCAAATGGCATTGTGATAGAAGCACATGGGAAAGGGAAACCACATGGTGAGACAGAAAATCAGAGCTTGAAGAGGGGTGAGATTCATTCTTTTACAGCAGCTCTCTCACTAGAACCAGAGTCCTATGAGAACTGCATCAGTTTCTGAGAGCAATGCCCCCAAGAGGTCTAGTGACAATCCAGTAGGATCTATTTCTTAAAGGTCCCACCACCCCTAACATCATCACACTAGGACCCAGCTTCTAACACCTGAACTCATGGGGACAAACCACATGCAAACCACAGCAGTGAGGCTTGTCACTACACAGCTGGAGCACATTTTATCTGTGCTTACTGAGACCTTGAAGGGCAAGCTGGTCAGTGTGCACAGGTTTGCCGCCCCCCCCCCCCCCCCCCCCCCCCCCCCCCTCTGTTCTCTGGTACTGCTCTGTGTTTTTCTTCTGTTCAACCTGCATTCTGCCCTCTCGGTCCATTGTCTGCTGGATGTCTTGTTTTTGGCTGCAAGGCTGAGCATCTGACTTAGGGAGACAATGCATTTTTGCCTCTAACTATTGGGAAAGTGAAATTTATTCCTCTGGAGGTTGCTCAGTTGGCAGAAGATAACCTGCCTCTACTGGTGACTGTCTTGTCCCCAGAAGATGTGAGTTTGTCTGAGAGTGAAGTCCACCCAGAAGGAAGAAGAATTAAAAAATAGACATTTCTTACAACCCATTTTTAATAGCTAAAGCCATACTTAGAATACTTCCATGATTTTTCAAAAATATATAAACCAATTATTTTTGTTCAATATTGTCTGATTGGGTTCCTGAAATTGACATGCTTTTCTGTTCAATCAATATTGATAGATGCAAAGTACCACGCTAGAAATAACACAGAGCCAAGCAACAGCTCCCTTGGTTGGTGAGAGTTCCTCTTCCAGTGGAAAACACCTTCAAATGATCAGAGTACACAGCCACCATCCCTATAATAACTGTTTGTATGTGGTATTAATTTTGTGCCTAACTACACCTTTGAAGATGTCCAATAAGCTTCATGGAGGAGGTGATATATGAGGCAGGGACTATTTCTCCTTTTTGTCTTCCAAGCCACTTTGTTCTTACCAGTACATATATTCAATCCCTCAATAAATCCCAAAGAGATGTCATTTTAAATGGTAATTGTGGTGGTTTGAGTAAGTGTCCCCTATAGGCTCCAAGTATTTGAACACTTGGTCAGTTGGTGGCACTGTTTGTGGATGTTTCAGGAGGTGTGGCCTTGCTGGAGGAAGCATATCAATTTCCTTTGGAGATGTCTGGTGGCCATGTCCCAGCAAGCCAACATCATTTTCCCATCCTGTCTCTTTCTTCTTCCTTCATGCCATGAACAGATATCAGTGTCTGAAGAAGGAGGCAGACACTTTCTCTCCCCAGGCTGTGGCTGATGCATGGACACCCCCCACCCTGCCCAGTGCATGCATGCATGTGCATATGCACACACACATACACTTTCCCTTTAGCTGGAGTCAGAGAGAGCCAATGGTATTAACAGTAATCTTGGTACTGTGAACACAAGGTTATGGGGACATAAAGCCCCAGAAACCTCTGATGGAATCTGGGACAGCAGGTCATCTAAAATTATCTTGTAGTTAATAAATTCCCTCCTGGTCCTTACTAAGTGGGATAGTCATCAACACATTCTAACACCATTTAAAACAGGGATACCTCTTGTTCACAATGAGCACTGGCCCTCCCAGTTCCTCAAAGCTTTTTTTGTACAAAATACACATTAATAAATCCTTTAAGAAACTCCAGTGTCCACTTCAAAAATAGGCTGTAAACCAGCTTATCCAGTCCCTCAGGGGAACTGACTCCATCTCTCTGCTGGATCTTTACAGCCATCTCTATGTTGAATATTGCTTGTTTTCCTCCTTTAAGTACAAAGCCCTGGAGGGCAGCACCCAGGTCTTATGGATTGCTGCTTCTTCTGCTTTGCCTGAGCCAGGGCTTGGCACATCATCCATGCTTGGCCCTGCCTGACTCCTAACTGGGCTTGCTCCCTGCTCTCCTCTGCTCCAGCTCTGGGTCCTCATGTGACTTGGTCTGAGACTCTGGTGCCATGGTCAACTGGAAGCAGAATCAATTTTTTTTTTGTCTTTTTTTTTTTTTTTTTTTTTTCGGAGCTGAGGACCAAACCCAGGGCCTTGCTCTTGCTAGGTGAGACTCTACCACTGAGCTAAATCCCCAATCCCAGAATCAAATCCATTAGAACACAAACTCCATGAAGGGTGGACCCTGAAGGGACTTCAAAGTTCTAAGCTGTTTTCTCCAGGGCAAGCAAAGTACCTGCCACCTAACAAACTCAGTAAGTATGAGTTGAATGAGTGAATGAATGAACAGATGGATGAATAGACAAATAAACGAATGCATGGAAGGAGGAATAGATGATGAATGGATGCATGAACAGATGGATGGATGGAAAATGGATGGACAGATGGACAGAAGGAAGGATGGATAGATGCAGTTCCAAGTTCTTGAAACCAATACTTTGCCTTTTGTGCAAATATACTTGGCTGAGCTTGGTTTTTTTCCTCCCTGCATTGCAGTCACCTACTGATGGACTTGTGCCTGTCTGCCCGAACCCTAGTATTTTTAGCTTAGCCTCCTTCCAGTTTCTTGGTGCCTCCTGGCCTCACCTTGAACCCTCTGTGTTGTAGATCCCTTTCCTGCTCTCATCATATTCTTTGGACATATATTTAACTCCTCAGAATGATCCCTTCATCTCTTGTCCCCCTGTCCCTTCTTATGGCGGCCCTGTCCATAGATCTGACCTTCCTTGTCACAGTCTCATGACAGATCTCTTCCCATTCTGATGGTGTTCTGTAAACACTGATGACCTGAACTGTGCTGTTGGTTTGTCTTTAAGCATCAGGTAAGTCAGGAGGAACTTCTATTATTTTTATTTATTTACTTTTATTTATTATTTTGTTTTGTATAGTATGAGTGTCTTGCCTGTATGTAAATGCACCCACGCATGCAATGCCCATGGAGGCCAGAAGAGGGTGTCAGATCCTTTGGAGCTGGAGTTACAGATGGTTGTTAGCTTCTATTTGGGTGCTGGGAACCAAACCCAGGTCCTCTGCAAGAGCAGCCAGTGTTCTTAACCACTGAGCCGTCTCTCCAGCTCCCATCACTATTATGCTTTAAAACAGAAATGTTTTCCATTTTCCCACCTAATTTTACTTAGCAGTGCTTCTATATTGCTTAATTTTGAACCTCACAATAAATTGTATGACAAAATTAATTCCCAAAATTTGTTCTGGGATAGAAGCTGATAAATCAAGATAACTGTGATTAAAATTGGTGAGTGATGCTGGGCATGATGACACATACTTTTGATCCCAGCACTCAGGAGGCAGAGACAGGCAGATCTCTGTGAGATGGAGGCCAGTCTGGTCTATATAGTGAGTTCCAGGCCAGCTGGGGCTACAGGGAGATCCTGTCTCAAAAAAAGACCAAAAAATTACTGGTGCGTAATTAGTCCTTTCATTGTCTCTCAACATAGTTACAGTTGACTCTGATATACAAGTACATTTGTAGGGACCAGGAAAGGATGGATGGACCTCTAAACAGATTTAATATGCCCAGGAGAGAATGGGAGATACATTTGTCTAATTAGGAATGGAAGTCTACCATTAACTAAGCATTTCATTGCTGTTCACAGTGTTGTTTAACAAGCAATGCATGGGTAGCTGGATCCTACACAGAATTGCTTGTCTTTGAATTCCAGGAAGTTAGGTATGGAGTGGGAGGAGGGCGTGTGCACGCTGAGGGTCTTAAGATATAGATAGCAGTTGGATGCTGGCATTAATAACGCCAAGCCCTCGCCCATAAACAAGATGTGGTAGTCCCTTGGCTGACACCACCCCAGCTCTGCGGGCATGTTAGTCTTGCTGTCAGCTCATATCCGTAGAGTTTTATGCCTCAACTGAGTAGAGTTTAGAGGTCTGGCTGATGCATCTCTCAAGGTTCCAAGATAAAAACATTGCCTGTCTTAATTAGAAGAGCAAGACAAAATGTTTACAGCCACTTGTTTAGGCAGCTGCTTTCCAATAGGGTGTGTATTTCCAGTGAGAGGCTGTGATATCAAAGCTTCAGGTTTTCTTTCAGGTGAGTGTCTGTGAATTGGCTCATGAAGGAGAAACAGGAACACACCAGTCTATGCTAGAGAAGAATGATACGGCCTTCCACTCACTGCCTGCTTCTGTTTGGAGCACTAGGCATCTTTGTACTCGATCACCTCACAAAAGGTCAGAAGAACAACACACTAATTTTCACAAAGGAAAACACTATTCGGAACTGTAGCTGCCCTGTAGACATCAGGGACTGTGACTACAGTTTGGCCAACTTGATGTGCAGCTGTAAAACCGTCCTGCCTTTTGCTGAGGAGCAAACCAGCTATAATGGCCATCTGACCATCTGGTTCACGGACACATCCACATTGGGCCACCTGCTGAATTTCACTCTGGTCCAAGACCTGAAGCTTTCTCTGTGTGGTTCCAACACCCTCCCCACCGAGTACCTGGCTGTCTGTGGCTTGAAGAGGCTTAGCATCAACACTGAAGCCAAGCATCCCTCCCCAGAGCAGAGCTTGCTCATCCACAGCAGAGGGGAAGGGGATTGCTATTACAAAGGCTGGCAAACATGTATGTTCATCTCTTTCTTAGATATGGCTCTTTTCAACAGAGACTCATCTTTAAAATCATACAGTATCGATAACATTTCCAGCATCACAAGAGACTTTCCTGATTTTTCTTATTTTAAAACTTTCCCAATGCCAAGCAACAAAAGCTATGTTATCACAGTCATTTACTAATATCCTGTGTCCATCTGCCTGGAACGCTGGGAAATGATGGCCCATTTGATCAAGGAATCTGGGAATTGGGCTAGGAGATAGGTATCCCCTTCTCTTCCCTCAGCCCCCAGTTGCAACAAAGACACATGAGTAGCCAGCTCTTTGCTCTGCTCCACAGTCAACTTTGGGAGCTATTTTGAGAAAGAAAGAAGAGATGGTTCCAAGGTTAGGAGCACTGGCTGTTCTTGAAGAAGACTGGGTTCGAATTCCAGTACCCACTTGGCGGCTAACAACTGTCTGTAACTCCAGGGTATCCAACCCCCTCCTCTGTCCTCCTTGGGCACTACACAACATGGGTACATTTACACACATGCAGACATAACACTCATACACAGAAAATGTAAATAAATTAAATAAATAAATAAATAGAATAAGTTGATTCAATCCTGAGATATGTCTTGAGGGCCAGCTAGGGGCTAGGTGTTTGCAACTGGCAACCTGTGGGAGGATGTCAGAAGTAGATAAAGTAGACTATTTGAGCTTAGTAGAGGCATGAGCCTAGGAAAGGACCCTTTCAGAATGCAGTAGTCCTCCTTTGTCTGTGTGGGTACATTCCAAAACCCCAGAGGATGCCTGGATCAGCAAATAGTGCTAACCCCTATATGAACCTTGTTCCTTCTTTCATATTTTTGATAACATTTAATTTACAAATCAGACTCAGTATGGGATTAACAAAAATGTAACATACTGTAACAAAGGTTATGTAAGCTGCTGTCTCACCCAGTACTTTGTCTTCCCATGATGATGTGAGATCAACCAAAAGGAAGCACAGCGAATTGCCAGCATTGCTACTTTGCATGCTATGGCCATCAGGGAGTAAAATGGGTTTCTTAGATACTAGCCTGCCAATCTGAAAACTGAGACAGCTACTAAGTGACTAATGAACGGTGATATATACAGTGTCTGTGTGATGGGAAAGGGGATCGTTCATGACTCAGGTGGAATGGGGTAGGACGGCAATCACCACAGCCCTCAGAACCACTTGAAACTTAAAATTTCTGAATTAGACGTGAAACTACACATCAGGGACCACTGTGCTTAATTTTTTTTTCCTTCATTTTGTGACACTGTCTGGAGTGCTGTAACTCAAGAATGATAGATTTCAGAGGTCTAGGGACTGTACATTCCTCAAAATGACTATGTTCTCTTAGACGGATATTTTCCACACAGTTGCTAAGAACAAATGCATTGAAAACTCAGAATTTTGAAAGGAGGCTGGGAAGGTAGAACAGCCAAGCACGGGGTGGGACCTTAACACTAAATGAAGGCATCAGGATTCTGAGAGAGGGGTACAGAAGTAAAAACTGGAATACATTAAAAATAACATTCATTTTATCTCAAAATTTTACATAGAACACGGCTTGGGGAAGTTTTCTTCTAGTCCTTCTCCTTCATAGAGAACTTCCTGGGAAAGTTTTCTCTTGCTCCAGAAATCAGAACTTAGATTACAATCAGTAGAATTGTTGGACCCCCATTAGAGACTAGCTTGGGAATCTAGCAATCATTTGTAACATTATTCTCAAAAGTAAAGGCACTCAAATAATGGATAATTAGTTAAAAAATGAACTTTTGCTCCTGAGTTCATTTGGAAAGTTAGGATACTTCATATGAAGCAGTTAACACAAAATAATATTGTAGATAGTGAAGAAAAGAACCAAAGCAACATCTGAAAAAGTAACCAAATTGATTCACTTGTACAAAGAAAAGTTACTCTCTCAAAGACCCAAATTACCATTAAAGTATATTTTCTAAAAACCCATGACAGTTGTGATACAAATGTCTAAACTTAGATTGAAATAAAGTTAAAACATTACTAAATTCATGATGCTATAAATGATAAGCAATAATTTTATTGTAATGTTGGGCATGGTGGCACATGCCTTTAATACCAGCACTTGGGAGGCAGAGGCAGGTGGATCTCTGTGAGTTCAAGGCCAGTCTGGTCTACATAAGTGAGTTCCAAGCCAGCTGGGACTACAGACAGACCCTATCTTAAAAAGACCACAAGAAAGAAAAGACTTTTATTGCAAAGTCACATGATATCCCAGGTTAGTCATATTCATCACATTTTTCTTCTCTTAACCTTAACATAAAGGAACTGAAACAACCTGAGATTTCTACATTTGCATAATTAGCCTGGGATTTGGCCATTCAGACTAATTAACATGAGTGCACAATGTCAGCATTTAAATTAGGCCAAAGTATTAATTTTAATAAGACATAGAATGATCTCATTACTGGTAGAGGTTAACATTAAAATGAGAAAAACACAAAGAATGGGAAGAAAGAAAGATATACATGAAAAGACAAATATATATTCACTGTCATTATTACTGAAAATGCTACCAACTGAATTTTAATGAATGCTTATTCATAATGTATAAAAGTGAATAATGTTAGAAATCATGTGTGCCCATATATGCCACCTGGAAGCTTTTACTAGTTCCAGAGTCCTTTCACATATGGTTTATGCAATTCTTATGAGAAACCACTGTGGGCCAATGGATTTAAGCCAATAGAAAGTGAAAGCTACTGTAACTATAAATTGAGCCTAGAGTTTCCAGATTTCGTGACTGAAAATGTGGCTTGGGTTGTGCTGCTGTGAGACAAATAAGGAAAAGAAAATCGATACACAGAATGGGGATAAGCTACAGATGGGAAGCAGCAGGGAGTGGAGGCTTGGGGTACCCCTGAAATTCCCCAAGGAGTCCACTGGGGCCCAGCTCCAGCTTAGTGCCACCATGACCGAGCACCATGGACCACATTGAATGCTTTAAGAAAATTAGGAATTCTGACTATCTTTGTGACATTTTGCAGTGTGGAAATGTTAACATGCCAAGAGCTTTTGTTGCTTTTTTGCTTGTTTCCAGTAACATAATGTGGTTCAATAAACTGTGTCAGTGGTTCCTATCCAGCTTGGGGCTGGAAATTTGTCATCTGTGGCTGGTGTTGTGCTGCTAAAAGTTTAGCTACCATGTCAAAGAGGAGGAAGAGGAGGAGGAGGAGGCAGATATATGCATATATGGAAGGTTCATTATAAATTTTGCTGGTATAAAGGCTGTGAAGCACATGAATTACAAATAATAATAAAATATATTATTCTTTGTTATAAACTCTCTGTAAATAATTCTCAAAGAATATTTTGACTGACTTTTGCCAAATTCTTATTTCTAAAGCCAACCTAAGGTTTAAATTGATGAGAAAATATAGTTCTGACACAAACATTGCCACATATTTTCATTTATGTTAAGGATAATAATAACATTAAGTAACAAAAATATAGGAACGTCACATGTTAGTCAATGGTAAGAAGTCCTTTGCAGAATCAAACGAGATTTTCAAACACTACATTTAGGATTTAGGATACTATTGCAATGTAAAGGTTATAAACATGACACATTTTTCAAGTTTGATCAGCACTTCATCATATCCAACAAAATTAAAAATTAGACGCAGAAATGTGCAGTTTTGTTCCAATCTCGGCGATGGAAATCTTGTCAGTACTACTAGTGTCAAGTTGCTAAGTAAACACAGAGTTAAGAAAAGAGGCACAACGTGAAGAGGGTGCAGCTCAGTGGCAGAGAGCTTGAGTCCCTGAGTCCAACCCTCAGAATCACAGTCAATCAATTATTATATTATTATATTTGGTTTTGATATAATTTAATCATACATTTATATTATTTCATTTTAGTAATAACTGTGTTTTGACTGAAAATGTCTTAAAAGGTAAACACTGAAGTTGGGAAGATAACCTCAAAAGGTAAGTGCTTGCTGCACAAGCAGGAGGACTTGAGTTCAAGCCCCAGCACTCATGTAAAAATGCTGGATGTAGTGGTGTGCTTGTAATCCCAGCACCAGATAGGCAGACACAAGAGGATCCCTGGGGCTTGCTGGCCAGGCAACCTAGCCTACTTGGTAAATTCCAGGCCAGTAAGAGACCATGTCTCAAAAAATAAACAGACAAAAACAAGGTGGACAGCATCCTGAAGAATGATACTGAGACTGACCTCTGACCTTTTGCACACACATGAACCTGTACACTGTAGGAAGCCAATACAAGCCCATGTCTGCTTGGCTTGTGGTAAGAAGAGCTAAAGGAACTGTGTGAAGACCATGAGCTTAGGGGTTGGGTCACTCACAGTACAGAGATGCAAGTCTGAAAGGAATCATTCATGAAGGCTAAAATGACTGGATGAAATGCTAAGGTATAGTCATACCATCTAAAAGTACTTCATTCTACAGATCACTTAACAGTTGTAAATGGGATCTTTCTAATAGAGAAAGGACCATGTCTGAGTGATTAGGCCATCATGGAACAAATGTGAGACCCTAAGGACCCATTGTATAATACATAATATTTGGCTAAAAATATAAAATGTGTGTCTGATAAAAATCTAAGTCATAGAATATTCTTGGGGGGTGATGACAACAAAACAAAAACCAACCTAGATTCTTAAAAAAACCCTCAATGTCATGAAAGTTAAAAAGCAAAATGTGAGCCATTCTAGAATAAAGAAGACTAAGTGCTGGGGCTGGAGAGATGGCTCAGTGATTAAGAGCACTGGCTATTCTTGCAGAGGACCCAGGTTCAAATCCCAACATCCACATGGTGGCTAACAATCATCCGTAACTTCAGTTTCAGGGAATCTGACACCCTCTTCTGTCCTCTGCTGGCACTGCATAACACAGGTGCACTTATATACATGCAGGCATAACTCATACACATTAAACAAATAATAAATAAATAAATATTTAAATTTAAAGAAGACTAAGTGCCATAGGAATGTGCTACTGGATCGGGGTTGACGGAAAAGTAATAGCTATGAAAAGTGTTACTTGGGCAATTGGGAAATTTGACTATGGACTGGCTAATAGATAATAGTAGTATGATAATGTTAAATTTCCCAAGTACAATAACTGAATTATGCTTATGTAGGGGAATGTCCTTGTTCTTAGTAAATACACATGAAGTGCTTAGGCATACAGAGTGAGCATGTCCACATGTATCCTTCAAATGACTTAATGAGAAGGAGGAAGGGAGGGAGGGAGAGAAGGAGGAAGAAGGAAAGAAGGAGGGGAGAGAAGCAAGACATTAATGATGACTGCAAGGAAGGGCGTCTAGATACTCACTGTACCATTCTTGATTCTTTTATTGCTTTACTTTGACATATAATAATTTCACATTTTATGATATGTCTATATATAATTTGTACTTTGTGCATTGATCAAACTAGGTTAATAATAGGAAGAGAAGAGTTTGCTTTTTTATAGACTTCAATTTTTTCTGAAGGAAAAGTTTAGAGAAAGAATGAGGTAGATTGATGGGTACTTATGAGGAAAGGTTTTGAAATACCAGACTGAAAGGATACAGCAAGTTCTAAAGTGACACACAGAGTAGGGTACCATTTAGTTAGTACAATACATACAGTACTGATAGATGATTGAGAGAGACAGAGAGACAGAGAGATCCTGTGTCGGTATAGGAAACAGAAAATTATTTAAGGCAGAGAAGGAGCAAACCCAGCCAACTAGTTGCCAGAGGAATTTCAAGAAGTGTTGCGGGAAAAGCGGGACGGCCGCACACTAGTAACAGAAATCAGTAAGCTGTTGCCATGGTCAGCTCCCACAACTGTCACCACCAACACTGCCTCCAGATACCCAAGAAGCCACACAGCAGTTGCTATGCCTCTAGATGCCTACAAAGCTGGTGAGTAGAGGGCTGGACACAAAGTCTGCCCTTGAGACCCTGAACACAAAAAGAGGTGGTTTCCATCTTAATTCAGCTTCCCAAATGTCACAGCAGAGTTTCTGGACACCAGTACAAAGTCCGGCTTCGAGAAAGTCTTCAAATGTGATTTTGCTTTTTAGCCCCTGTGGTATTGGAAAGGTACCAAGGAGGAGGTGGGAAAAGATGCTAAATGCCAAAGGATCACATCCAATATGCTCCACGTCTTTGGCTATCAACACCCATGCAAGCTTTTCTCATGCTTTTACAGTTTTAGCAATAACGATAGTATCCAAATATGTTTTCATTCTCCTCTAAACCCACAGAGCCCAAACCCACAGTCTCTGCTTCCAAATACAATAGGCAAGCCACGTCTAGAATAATCATAATCACTCATTTTAAAATGCTTAAATTCTAGGGCCAGGAGAGATAACTCAGCGCTTAAGACACTGGTTCTTGCAGAAGACCCAGGTTCAAATCCCAGCACCCACATGGCAGCTAACAACTGTCTGTAACTCCAGTTCCAGAGGATCTGACAGCCTCTTCTGTCCTCCACAGGCATTTCACGACACGGGTGCACTTATCTACATGCAGGCAATACATGCATACACATAAAAATAATAAAATAATTTTAAAAAATTTTTAAAGAAAGCTTAAATTCTAAAGCTGATCACTGCAAATCTCCCCTACATAAAAACAGAAGATTGTGAGAGGGAACTGAAAGTTCAACTGTTAAAATTATTGTACAAACATACATGTGTATAACAGGAAAAGCAAGATCAGGAAGACGGCTACTGCAGGCCTGATTTCTTGAACTGTCATTCGGTATAACTAATTGATTATCTGACCATCGTCCTGCCTCTGCTGCCCTCTCCAGGTTCCCCTTCAGCCAGTAAATCAGCTGAGCAAGTTTCTCTAGCTGCTAGGATAACCCAGAACTTATTCCTGAGGGGTCAGAGCCCTTGGCAGTGATATCTCATTTACAAGAGTCTTCCACTGGAAGCTTCCTCTAGATAGGAAGTACCAGGTACTGAAACTTGGGTTACAGATATCTTCTTCACTTCCCCCACTGTGCAGCAATAACTGTATTTCCCTTTTGATAATCAGGACTGATCATCCAATGCAGTACAGTAACCACCCTCCACTTTTCCCTGATGATTCAGAGGCAAGGAATGCCAAAAATAGCCAGGTACAAACTCAACTGACAGTTAAATGTAACTATCATGTGTCTTCCATTGGAAGCATTTCTTCTTTGAATAAAGAGTCATTAAGCCCAACTTGTGGTTACAGGATATGACAAAATTTAAGTTATTAGATATAATAGAAATGGCATTGCCACTTCCAAACCTTAGCTCTTAGGCCTATATATTCTGCTATAGAATTATATATTGGTCCCTGGTTCAAAAGATTTCATACACATACACACACACACACACACACACACACACTACAGAATAGGACCTCAACTCCTCCAGGAATTTTCTCCCAAATGATGTCATAGCTAGGCCTTCAGTGGGCTGATCCAATGTTCTATATGGTCAGATTCTTCTGAGTAATGAAATGCATGAAAAGGCTAGAAAATTACATGAGCATGAGCCCACTGCACCACCTTCAGCACTGTGAAATTGGTTCTTGGCCAGAAGCAATGCTGTATCGGATAACAATATGATGAAATAAAGGCTTTACCAAGTCTATGGGTCACAGTATTGGCAGAAGTACTAGACAGAAGGGCAATCCATGAAATATGCATCCATGTCATTGAGTGAGGATAAATTGCTGTCCTCTTCAAGGTGAAAAAAGCCTACTGTGATAAAACTGGATGGTTCTTTCAGGAAATAATCCAAATTGGAGGCTCAGCATTGACCTCTGTTGTTGACAGGTTGGGTACTGTGATGGCTAACATTTTACTTTTTCTTTTTTATTGAGCTTTTGTACATTTCAAACGATAGTTCTTGATCAAATATAGACTCCCCTCCCCCATCCATGTTCTCATTCCCCTCCACTGGACCTCATGCATTCTGCCAAACATGTTAAGTTCTATCTGGTCAAGCATTTGTACCCAGATGTCCTCCAGTGCAAGTTCATCCACTGGAGTCTAGTCAACCTATCTAGAGGTCTTAAGGAAGCTCTACTCTCCATTACCCAGCAGTAATCAGTCTCCAACAGTCTAGGTGATAGGAACCTCTACGCCTAAGGCTCATGGAACACAGTGGAACAGAGGGTAGAGAGACTACTAGTGCATCCATCAGCTCTCACCAGCAAAACTTCTTATACAACAGAGGGTGATGCACACAGAAGGCCACAACTGGCTAAGTTTTAAAGAATAAGAGACTGTAGAGTTTGGGTCCTTGTCTAGACTCCTATATTAAACTTCACCCACCCAAAGCTCAGGGACCACTGTGGATGTTTAATATTTTCAACTTGACAGGATCTAGAATCACCTAGGAGACAAACCTCTTGGTATGCCCATGAGGAATTATCTAGAATAGGTTAGCCTATGGACATGCTTATGAGAGGTTATCTAGAGTCATTTAATTAAAGTATGAAGACTCACCTTAACTGTGGGTAGCACCATCCCATGGGTTGTAGTGTTGGATTGAGTAAAAAGGAGCATGTAGCTAAGCACCAGCATTCACCTCTCTGTTTCCTGGTTGCAGATGTCATGTGACTAGCTCCCTCAAGCTCCTGCTACTGTGACTTCCCCTTCATGATGGACTGTAAGCCAAAATGAACCATTATTTTCATAAGTTGCTCTTGCCAGATATTTTTTTATAGCCACAAGTCAAATAAAACTAAAATAAAAATAAATAAAATAAACTGCAGGAATTAAGTAGTCAAATCAGTATTGGTAAAAGGAAGTCCTTGTCGTAAAGTTGATATAAAAGCTTTATATCTGGCACTACAGCTACTTAGTTCATGTAAAAGCACTAAAGCAGTTATCTAAAGGAAGAGGTAGACCGCTATCCATAGATGAGACATCCCTTACCTGCCTATCACCGAGAACATCCTCATCAATGAAGCTGCTCTTTGCAATGAGGTGGCTTTGGTGCCTACATGACTCTTTCCAATATCATTTGCCTTATTCCTTTCAATTCTGTGACTCCACTTCAGCCCTTTTAATGTGGGAGGTCCTGCAAGAGAACTAAACCACATAGAGAGTGATTAATCATTCATTTTACTAAGAATTGTACATCATATGATTCATGTAATGGATGGAAAAGGGCATTAAGACATTTTTTCAAGGAATCCTTTTTGGAAAGTGATGATCCCTCCAGACAACTGAGGGTGAGGTAGAGGTAGAATGCATCTGTCCTTGTAGTCAAGATTCTTTGTAAGCAAAGCAGATACTTGGATAAATTTCCTGAAGTTTTGTCTGTTAGGAGAATTTTCTTTCGTGAATTTTCTTCTTGTCTATTCTGGGGCTGTAATGCTGGAGTCTGATATGCTACTGGGACATAACATCATGTAAAACTGTAAACTAGACTTGAATTTTTCTTTCTTAATCAATTGGTAACAGGGAACTTCTCAAGACCATTAGATATAACTTGGAGTAATGGTGGCAATTCCAGAGTAGAAGGACAAAGCATTCAGAGCAGGAATCTCCTGTTCTTGCAATGTACTTGCATCTTCAAAATAGATCAACTCCTGGTCACATGTGTATTGTATCCATCCACTCATACAATGCTGCCTTACATGCCCAATTTTATATTTTGGCAGATCAGCTCATTTAGAACAGCTAAGATCACACGATCATGTAAGTGTTCAAAGTTAAAGTCTCTATCAGGGACTAGGGCAAGCCAGAAACAATTACACAAAAAGAGGCTGACTACTGATTTGAATTTACTGAATCTACTTCCGTCTGACCCATATTGGTCACCAGCCTAAAATCAACCTTATTGTGAGAGTATTTAAAGCCCTAAGATTTAATCTGATCATCTAATAAGACACTAGGGAAAAGGGCTTAGGATCAAATAATGAAATAAGTGAATACTAGGGACATTTAGAGGAGATCCACTAGCGTTGGAAATGTTAGTGAAGAAGAAAATGATAGGACAGTGGGGTGTTTCAGAAGCAGTGGTAAATGTTCCTTAACCAGCACTCCAGAAAAAATCGTTTTGATTTGAAGCATAGATTTATATCATGTACCCTTGTTGGAATGAGTTTTATAAAATGGACAGAATCTGAGCTAATGACTTTTAATTAACCTTGGTAAACTCAATGAACTTTGTATCATTTGACCAGGCATTTCCTGGGAGCCTCAATTTGGTACTCCATGCAAAATGATAATGAATGAATGTAGATATGCTTGAGAATTAACGTATCAAAGCACTGAAAGACAGTACACCCATCTTCATTGAACACAGGGATGATTAGGAAGGACACTGAGATTGGGTGAATGAGATATTCTAGAACTATGGATGAAAAGGCAGGATGGCCTGTCAAGATAACGGTGGATCCAAACTTGTACTTCCCCAATGAAGCTGGAGAAACTGGTTTGAATGAAAATGTGAGTGAGGCTGACTCAGGAGCACAGTTTCAGGAGACAGACCTTTCCAAAGCCTATCTGGGGGAGTAAGTGTCCTCTGAGTTCCGACCCACTCTTAGAAACTAAATTTAAGCATCAGGCTTTTTGTTCAGGTAATAGTAATGGTATGCAGCACAGTAACGCTACATAAATTCTCCAAACATGACTAGTTTTTAGGTAATGAATGTATTAATACTGAACTTGGAGTTGTGATAGATGCATGCAGTTGGCTCCTGTAAACCCAGAGGAACCAGCACCAGCACACAGAGAGAACAATGCTCCAGTCAGAGAGTAGAGTTCATCGGCTGAAAGCTGTTGAGAAGTGAAAGAGGATAAACTCAGGGGTTTCTTCTGGACTGGCAAAAGGTGATGTTGACAAAAGGAGCATCAGTAAAGTGAGTGGTTTGAGGACAGAATAAGTCATGAGAAGGAACTTCAGTGAACAGGGACAAATGTATGGAACACTCAAGCTGTGAAGGATTCTGAGGTAAAGGAGCCATAGCTGAAGAGAGAAGTCCAAGGCTGTATCTGGATGGAACAAACAGATGTGTTTGCCAAGAGAATGACACAGCAGGAAGGGTTGAGGAGGCAGAAGACAAAGGTGAGGGCTAAGACAGTCAGGCCCATAAAGGAATGGGGTACTGTGCACAAGCTGATGGACTAATCTTTGAGAGAAGGAAGAGCACTTTCATTTCCGTGCATGGAGACTGGATGAGGGCAGAGGCAAGTAGGTTTGTAGATATGGCTTCCTCCAAGGGTTTTAGCTTTCAGTGAAGAACTGTGTTGTTAGTTGGGGATAGTTGAAGCTTTGAGGATAGCAGTTGTATAATAATCATTTCACGATATGGAAAGGTAAACTTACCAAAAAGACAGACTAAGAATACTCTACAGATATCTGGTTGAAATTCCATATGTATGTGATCTCTTCACTGCCATTTTCTTAGACATTTTAGAGCATTTATCATTGCTTTGTTGGAGAAACGTGAGGAGGAATTAATGAAAATTAAAGAACCACATGGACACTCCTACATTTAAAACCAAAGTGTATTTACCATTACTTAAGAATTTCTCCTGCCCCATTTTATTGGTTTTCCCTTTTCTCTTTATTGGTTAAGAGACATTAAGGAATCCTTGAGTTAGTTTTGTGTGGTTTGTACTTTGTTAGAAGACATATCTTCTGTAGAATATTAGTCTTATTGTCACTAGGTTTACTATAATATCCTTTCATAATTAATTTAGCTTTTCCTTACCCTTAGCTACCTCTAAAGATATGGGGAGTATGTGAGTGTGTATTTTCTTTTGCTACTGTGTTAGGCTTAGCATTTTCTTTGCACTGTCAATTTTTAATTTGTATTTATTTTTCTTTTAAAATTACATTTATTTTGCTTGCATGTGCACGTGTGTGTGTGTGTGTGTGTGTGTGTGTGTGTGCACGCGCATGCCATGGGGTGCATGTGAAGGTCAGAGGCCAACTAGCCAGAGTTGGTTCTCTCTACCATATGGGTCCCAGGGGCTAAACACAGGTTGTCAGCCTTGGCAGCAAGCACCTGTACTTGCTGAGCCATCTCACTGGCCTTGATTTTTTTAAAGATAGAAGTGCATTATGTACTTTTACATCATTGTGGCAAAATATTAATAAAACAACTTAGGGTATCAAAATAGCAATAGAAACAACTTATAGGATCAAAATTGTGTTTTGGTTCACGGCTTCAGCTAGCTCAGTTCACTGTGGCAGGAAGGGCCCAGTGGAGCATTAGTAGCCTGGCAGGTCATCAAGCAGAGAAGGGAATAGCTGATGTCTCTGGCTTTCTCCTTTTCACCCTTTTATTCCATCCAGGCTCCCAGCACAGGAGATGGTACTACCCAAATTAAAATTAAAATTGGTTAATCAAGGACAGAAAGGAAGAGGGAGACCATAGAAAGTGAAGAGTCCATTGGAGGAAGACCCACACTCAGAGGGGGCCTCCCCCGCCAGGTAATTCTCTGAAAACACCCTCAGAGATGTACTAAGCGGCATCCCTCAATCTCACAGGTTATTCTAAAACTAGTTAAGTTGGCAATGACACTTAACCATCCTAGGGAAGGCTGTCCAACTCTTTGGGTTTTGTTCATCATTTAGTTTTTCCTGTGATTGGAGAGTGTGTCTGTGAGATGCCTGATTTGGAGAGTTTTCTCAGTTTTTAAAAAATGTTGCTAGTTACTGATTCATGGTTATAAAATATTTTACAGAAGAAATAGATTATTAAGTAGTCTTTGGAGAGTACAAAATTATCTTTTCACGGCCATCATCTACCATCTCCCTGTGTGTTCACTGATTTTTAAAAACACACATAATCTAACATTTTATTTTTTTGGCCAACTGATCTGTGTACTTCAGAAAGAAGCATATTAAAATACTCCACCATGAAGAGATACATGCTGGTATTTAGTGTCCATAGGAAGTTATTACTTATGAATTTAACACAACATAGGAAAAATTTGTTAATCAAGGACAGACACAGAGAAAATATAGTCCTGTTCAGTCATTACTGGTTTCGCTGGATGACTATGACATAAAAGAGGGGACCAGGGAGTTAAAGATATTGCAGAGTGCCAGTATGATCTTACCCTGTGACATCCAGAAAGGATGGGGAAGAAACAGGCAGGAAGAAGAGGGAGACCATAGAAAATGAAGAGTCCATTGGAGGTAGACCAAGGGGCCTGAGCAAGCAGGAATGACCCCGCTAGAGAAGACTCCCAGTAATTTGGAGAACAGTCCAGCATGCAGCCATCCTGGCAGGTGGCTGGAGTGGTAGAGGAGAGGACTATGAGAAGTGGTGATAAGCAAGAAAGAATGTAGGGAGGTCACACTGCAGTGTGGAAGGACTAAGAACAAATGAGTGAAGACTATGCACCAGGCAGTTCTGGAAGGAAATGAACCAATGGTAGGTGTTGCTAAGATGATAGGCAATTCTTGCTTTCCCCCCTTTGTGCTGCTTTGTATCTTCTTTTTTAATGTGCAGACAGTATTTTCATAATTAAAAAAGGTTTCTTTTAAAAGTCCACCTACAGTTTTTAATAAATTCAAAGCTGTCTCATTCTTCCTATAATCTTGTTATAATCTTATTGCACATTTATTATACAGCTTTGCTGGCTTCTAGTAACTCAAAATATATGAAAAAGAAATACCAATTATTCTTTTATACCCATTGGGGAAGTTTGTAACCTGCTTATTTTAATAATTTATATACTTTGAATTTTTTCCCCAGGGAGGCAATAATGTATCAACAACAGTAATACAACACAGGTGATAAGTGAGTTCTTTTAAGAAAGGATTCATAGCTATTTTTTCCTTTGCATTGCTCATTTATGTATTTAAAGTATGCACTGTGAATATAACCTAAATATATTAGTACTGTGGGTCTGTGTTACTCTTTTCTTTTCTCTCTTTTTTTCTTTTTGAGACAGGGTCTCCCTGTACCCATAGCTGGTCTGGAACTCACTATGTAGACCAGGCTGGCCTCAATCTCATAGAGATTCACCTGCCTCTGCCTCCTGAGCAGGGACTAAAGATGTGTGCCACCACTCCTGGCTTGTGTGTTACACTTTCATATGAAGAGGGTAGAAGATGGATATAC